CTGGAACCTGCCCTTTGCCGTTTTCACAAGCAACATTTACTCACAATTGATTCGAAGGCCAAATAACGATCGTCACCAGCCATGCCTGCGGCTTCCTCGTTCCTTAGTATTATCCTTACAGTGTTCCCAACGACACTTTTAGGTCACAAATTCACCCCACGAATTTTCGTCGATTTCAAGTACATTTTCATGTGTAATACTTGTGAATTCGACGTCTGACGCCTGACGTCGACTGTCGTTTTCAGTTTGCTCGTTCGGCTCATTCCGACACCAATCGGTATCTTGTAGAATACGAAATGGTACGATTGTGCCAAATGGCATCGTGATCACCCGTAGATGGAAGCCAGTAGGGGTATACAGTGATAGAAATTGGAATGTGAGTGAGTGTGAGTGAGTTTAGTTTTACGCCGCACTCAGCAATATTCCAGCTATATGGCGGCGGTCTGTAAATAATCGAGTCTGGACCAGACAATCCAGGGATCAACAGCATGAACATCGATCTACGCAATTGGGATACGATGACATGTGTCAACCCAGTCAGCGAGCCTGACCACCCAATCCCGTTAGTCGCCTCTTACGACAAGCATTGGTTACTGAAGATCAATTCTAACCCGGACCTTCACCAGGCGATTGGGTGTTCTATTATTGTACATCCCAATTTCTATCACTGTATACCCTTTACTGGCTTCCATCTATGGTCATTCACTCTATGTAAACATGTTGTACAAACATTATGTATACCCTATTTTAACTTAATTCTCTCAATAATCTATTGTAAAAACAACTCTGTGGCTTCATGTACATACTACTTATTAGTATTAGTATACCTGTGTAACTATTGACTGTCATTGACTGATGAAGGGGCAAGCATTAGCCCAGAAGCGTTGTGTGTAAATAATAAAGAAGTTGCACATCCATATCAAGTGTCTTGTATTACCCTACCAACTTCTAAATGCCTATTAAACGTCTAGACGAATATTATCGCCAATGTTTCTGTTTGCCATAAAGCATAAAGATGTAGCATTAGGTAACCTCCTACCTGAAAGTTAGCCTAAACCTGACAGAGATTCCTCTAATTCTGTTGAAGGTGTTATTACTCATAGTAAGGACAAAGTACTGTCGTCTTTGAAGAGGTCTAAAAACAATAAAACTCCTGGCTCAGATGGATTTTCTATATAAATATTTAGAGTGATCTTGGTGATTTTCTATTGAGAAATGATGGCTTCAACTTAGGAAAATGATCTCTTACACAGAGACAAGGTATGATAACTTGTATTAAAAATCTGAAAAGCAAAAAATATTTATTAAAAATTTGAGACCCATAACATCTGTGAACACATCCTACATCGTATGTCTTCAGTTATAGCAGAAAGGCTAAAGAAAGCGTTGCCTTCTTTGGTTTGATTAAATTTTACATTTATTTTGATTGCTATATTTATATATGCTTGTTGAGTCATCTAATATAATTTCGAGTGCTTCAGTCCAGTGACAAATTTGACTCGTAGGCAACCTACCCTTTAGTTCTGAGAAGGACATACTTGGGCACAAAACTCTCAGCGGTTCTATACGGCCGATCACAAAACGATTGGTTATAGATACACAGTGACAGCGAGAGGCATCATATGCCACAGTTAAGTGTTAGCTGAAGGAACTTTAACATAGGAGAGACTGTTAGGGAGATAGTCCCCTATGTGGTGAACCCATAAGGGCCATGATGAGACTGACTGAGTTTGGTTTTACGCCGCTTTTAGCAATATTCCAGCTACATCACGGCGGGGACACCAGAAATGGGCTTCACACAGTACCCATGTGGAGATTCGACCCGGGTCTTCGGCGTGACGAGCCAACGCTTTAACCACTAGACTACCCCACCGCACCACAAGGGCCATGAAGAAGACATTGAAGACTTCCACAACATGGAACTGGACATTATTTACACTCCATGGGGTAGGGGAGGCCACACGCTTCTCATGTGGCTCAAACGAAACAATCCTTAATCAGCATCTATATATGTTAAAGGTTAATGATCGATGGGTTCCATGGCTGCTGTCGGCTGAAATGAATGTTGTGCGGTCACCAAATGTGATGTTTTGTTAACCAGTCGCAATCAAGAACAGTTTCATTTGAGGCAAGCGACCTGGTCCCATCTCTGTGACACTGAGCGCCAACAAGAAGCCATGCAGTGGAGACACTTCCGGTCTACTGGGCCAACAAGTTAGAAACCACAGTTTTACCTGGAATTCCTTGCTCTCAGAGTCTATCACAGTTCGGCACGATGTGACTATTCGTTGTCTAATCGTTGACTGTTCGTTGAGGGGCGGTGGGGTAGCCAAGTGGTTAACGCGTTCGCTCGTCATGCCGAAGACCCGGGTTCGATTTCCAGGAATATTGCTAAACGTGGCATAAAGCCATACTCACTTCTCTAATGACACAACAAGAAATTATAAATTCAGAAATATTCAGGGTCGATATTTTCGAAACGAAACGCCCCATAATCATTGTAAACCTATAGTTAGGAAACCCTAATCTGTCAACGCACATTTTCAAACCTATCGTAGCCGTCAGAATGTTTGTTTTTGTCTTTAAAAAACTAATTGCCCTTTCTTTGTCTCTGTCTCGTTTTCTGCGCAAAATGTTTTTCCACAGATGCCATGAACATGGAGTAATTGCAACTCCTTATTTTGTAAGCTATTCGTGTACATAGCATTATTTCAAAATACCTACCGACTACGGTTGAGAAAAATGTAATTCAGTAAGAATTTAGGAACCAAACACCTTATGCTTGTCGCAAGAGGCGACTGAATTGATCAGGGGGTCAGACTCGTTATATATTGGTTGACCATCACCGGTCATCATATCTGGATCGATACTTATGTCAATCACTGGATCATTTGGTCCAAGAGAGAATGAAATAAATGATAGATTTATGATGGATTTGTATTGCGTTTTTTTCCATAGTTAGATAGTATGCTCAAATCAACTTTATCTTTACACGTCCAGGTCTTAAAGGTCACATGCAACCAAAAAATCAAACATAATTAAAACACAATTATCACTTGTTCATGACATATAATATACATTGCTGATTATGAAAACACATATAAACAAAATTATAAGCGTACAATCGCAAATCAAAAGTGCAATATTTTGTACTTGGGTTTACTTCCCAAGAAACGAAGCAGCCGAGATACCGAACCCAGTCAGAGCGGGTGGGTGTGCACTCAAGTGTAACGGCTGGTTCATTTGCAGATGCCTTCACGGCTCATTGTGTGTGTATATATAGAGATGTTGGGTTTTGTAAATACATGCTCATTTTTTGTGTATAACATTTTGCAATCAACAGACATCATAACATGTCATGTGTATAAGTATCACACCTGCCTGTCTGTGTAATTACATAATGTGACAGAGACCGAACTCGGGCCATAAATCAATGCATTTTGTATCCCTGCTTTTAAGTATCGAACTGAGAAAGTGACTCGGTAAGAAGAACGTGTGATGAAATAGACAAATGAAATTATATAAACAGTTAAATCAGTAATCTACTGTCATAACATATGAAAAGCTCGCGCCTGTGAAATATCAACAAAACATAAGAAAAATAGCTCACACCAAAGCCTTCACCGAGTACTCACCGGACAACCCACTTCCAAGCTGCGCGAACCTATTTCACTGGGCATGTGTTATGAGCGCAGCCCAGCTGTTGAAACCACTTTTCCCCCAAGCGCTGGGGAAAAATTAGTGAATCGTTTGAACTCCGATAAGCGCGGTTTTTTTCATCGCGTTATTTTCAACTTTATAAGTTGAATTTGCATTTTGATGATTTGTTTCGGTAAGTCCATACCGAAAGGTATCAGACATACACTAGACGCCAAAAGAAACGTTACCCTCCTACCTTTATGAATTACTGAAAAACTATCAAAGATATGTTAGAAGGTTTTAGTTTACAAGAAAGCTTAACAACACAGCTTTATGCAAATCACGAAAAAAAATTCTCAAATGCATTCATATTTAGGTGAAATGCATCTTTTTCAGAAGAGTTAAATTGTCCTATATTCGTCCATGCCGAAATAAACCAATAATAGTGATTTTGATGTCCAAAAGAAAGGTTGAAATAAAATTCTGCTTTGGGACAATGATAAACCATTTAAAGTCACCATTTTTCAACTACTATAACAAGAAACAACTGTTGTAGAGTGTGTAAAATTGTAAAATAATCATTCCTATGATTTCAGTCTTTTAAAACATTTTCTGCTGATTTGCATTAGTGAAAACAAGTAAAACGTGTCTTTGATATTGTGAAAAAATGTTTAGGAACATCTAAAATTATCTTTGTTAATATTTTTGCTTGCAAAGTAACACTTTTCCATTTTCTGTTTACACATAGCAATATCAATCGCCAAAACGCAGCAATATTCAAGCAGTATTTACATCCATTTCACATGTGGAATGATTCTATAGGGTATAAAGAGAGCCTAGAATACATGATCTGATACACAAGTACGAGAAATATGCCACGATTAACAGCTGAAGGGAGAGAAAGAACCATTGGGATGGTGCAGATGGGGTCGACATACAATGCTGTTGCCAACGCCCTCGGATGCCACCGTATCACGGTTATAAGACTTATTTAGGGCTTCAGACAGACTGGGGTCACCGTAGACAGACCAAGAAGTGGACGTCCACGCATCACAACGCCAGCTGAAGATAGGTACCTCCGTCATTAAGGAAGGAGGGTAACGTTTCTTTTGGCGTTTAGTGACTACCGACTCGGTCGCCGCTTCAAACACACACAGCAGTAACAAGCATGGACGGTTTTAGGGTAAATAGTATATCACCAGTAGATTAATAAAAATATTGTAAATAGTTTTCAACAACACATTTAATTAGTTGCTAAATTCTAAAATCGTTCCAACAATTTCAAAACAGGCACGGAGGTCAATCTTAGTATATTTACAATGACTTACTCTACACTCGTTTGTTAACAAAGAATAGCCACATTCTGTGCGTAGTATATATTTCAAATATATACCACCTTACATTCGTATCAATGGAATTTCAGTTGTCTGAAGTCGAGAATATCACAGTCAGCGGTTCATGGAGACAACAGCCTTATAACGAGGGAGAAATGTGTGTTTGTGTAAACATCTTTGTGTCATATATGTATGAGTGAGGCAAGACTATCTGTATGTTGTATGTATCTGTATTTAAATGCATGAGTAAGGAATAGTGAGTGAGAAGGGTTTTACGCCGCTCGTAGCAACGTTCTAACAAAAGCGTTGACGGTGACACCAGAAATGGGCTTCACACGTTGTACCCATGTGGGGAATAGAACCCGGGTTTTCGGTGTGACGAGCGAACGCTTTAACCATTAGGCTACCCCACTGCCCCAGTAAGGATAAGACTAAGCAAGCTCGATATTCCTGATCCTTTAGTGATATGGATTAATGCACCCTCGCGTGGGTGCGTGCGTGTGTCTGTGAGATGTGTATATACTAGATAGACATTATACTGTGAATAACGCCACCGATGAGGTCGACATTTTCACAAGGATTATCTTAAAGCCGTACAGATCTCAGACTTAGATCCTTTAAACTACTTAGAAATTCAAATAGGAGTTATAACCGACAGTGCCTGTTTGAAAACTCAATAATGACGTAAAAGACACCATGTGTACAACAAGTTTATAGAACACATTAAAAAACAAACCGATCAACAAGTAAAACCAATAAATAACAATATAATCACAAGCATGGGTTCGACTCTGTTTTTGGCAACATGAGATTGCTACACAGATGTTAGAGTGTTCCAAAGTAATCTTATTTCGTTTTTTTTCACATTCATTATCTTTACAAATCTTAAAAATAAGTTATACCTTTTACGTCAAAATATTTCCCAAATGCGTTTGAATCAGTAGTAACTGAACCACGTGACTGCTTCTACATAGCAAAACCACAAAATCAATGCTAAGGATATTCAAACTCATCCTCGATAATGGAGGGTATTTTACCTCCTGTCCATTACCAAATATACCCTGGACCCATCTGCTTGTCGATCTTCTTGGAACGTGACAACACATCCTTCTCCTATCAGTAACCTTCCACAGATTTTCTTTCGCACATGAATGTAATTTGATTGGACGGCTATTTTTAACATCATGTGGTTGGAACTGGAAAAGTAAGGCTTGGTGTAACAGTAGCGACGGGGCAGGGATGTCTGTGAAGGAGTTAATACACCTTGATAATCGAGGATGAGCTTCGCGAGTCGTTTCTCAGTAATTGCTGCCGACTGGGCCGTTGAATAAAAGTGTATACTATGTAAAAGACTATTGGAATCACCACGGTGTTAACATAGAATATTACAACATACCATGTTTCTGACACAAGTCTGTTCACGCAGACATACAGAGCAAAAGGTTTGCAAACATACGTGACATTGACACCCATTCGTCACCACTCGTCCCTTTCCGTAACCTGTTACGGAATGACACGAGCAGTTACGAAAGCTTGGCACCTTGTGCCAAATTTGTTTTAACTTCAACACATATATCAACTGGACATGGTACTTGCAAAGGTAAAATAAACTATGAAAGGCCACGAGAAAGTGTTTTCAAGCAGTACAAAAAGGCACATATTGAAGTGTACCTATATGTACTGAAGGAAAGTATTAATGCAACAGGAATACCCATAGTTATTTCGTTGTATTGTTAATGTCAAAGTTAACAGGTGCGTGGCGAGAAAAAAAAGGTGTTGGACCAATAGAAACTGATAAATCTGACAAACACCATAACACCACTCTACACTGGGGACAATATGCACAGGACCGTTCAATTCAACACGTGACATTCGCCAGAATTATCAAATCACGTAATCATTAATTATCATATTCATTCAAAGGCGCCAAAATGGTTTCAGACTCATCAAAAAGCAGTTAGGCTGACGAGGTTAATAATCTATTCGTTCAGGGCTCTCATAAAGCAGGTTTCAGCCCTGAATGTGTATATCGCTTGTTCAGCAGTATTGATAAGTGTTACGTTCTCCAAAAAGACAACATCACATTAAAATATGAAAAATAACAACGCCAGCTTCTCCCCATTCTATTCTTTTTGAAGCATATCACGAGGGATCCTTTTGGGCACTTTATGTCAACTTTCAATCAACTCCATTTTAACTGAACAGGTGGTCCCGGTACGGTCTTGAGCCTCGTTTATCCGTATCATTCGGTCATCATGCTCTGGATTAACGGATCTCCGAGCTGGAGGAACGTCAACATGTTTGGGAATGATGTCGAAGTCGTAATCGATTGTATAAACGGAGTTGTTTCCTGGATATCGGGGTCTGGATTAACGAGGTTCGAAATTGCGACCAAGACCTTTTTGCCATAAAGTGTTATAGATCCTTTCCATCAACACAAATCAAAATGGTGGACTTGACCTTCTGTTTTAAGATTAGGTTTTTAATTTTCTATTTGTCATAAGATATCGTCACATCGTTTGACTGGGTTTTAGATTGAACGCCATAAGGAATTTCTGAGTTAGGGAAAAAACGGGACACGTTTGTGATCAGTTGAGGTTTCGTCATAAAGGAGGAATCGGATCCCGCTCGGCACATTCGTCATCAATGCTCTAAATATGGTCACTGCGCCTAAAAACAATCTTGTTTGTGCCTTTGTCGTTGTCGGGAGACGTTGGAAGGAGTTCAGCGTGCCGCTGAGCAACTTTATAAGAAAGATAGGTTTACACTTAAAATTCAAAATTGAAAATAACAAAAAAACAGGAAACGGATGTGTGTCGATGCGCAAAGGACCATGGGATGTCGAGCTCAGTAATCATCTGTGCTAGGGACGAATTGTCCATCAATGGTCATCGTGAAGACGATGCCGTCCATGGGGTGGCCCGACGTCTTCACCTGTGCGACGTGGTCGTTGAGGGTGAAAGTGATGACAGCCCCATCATCGTAGAACTCGTGCTGAAAAACAATTGACAATGTTTCATATAACGGTAATCTTTGACATGACGATTGGTAACTGTAAAATAGACTGTCAAATAGATTGCTAAACAACGTATACACGTATGCTTGATAGTAGCTAAAACGATACAAACAATAAATGGTCAATCGATGGTCATGTATTAGATGGGGCATCACAGGCAGTGTTTGGGGCAGTGGGGTAGTCTAGTGGTTAAAGCGTTCGCTCCTCACGCCGAAGACCGACCGGGTTCGATTCCCCACATGGGTAAAATGTGTGAAGCCCATTTCTCGTGTCCCCCCACCGTGATATTGCTGTAATATTGTTAAAAGCGGAATACAAGCATACTCTCACTCACTCATCCAGTGTTTCGGCGACATTTTAAGCCCAGAAACGTTCTGAGAATTTAGGGGTCAAATCCAACTGCCAGATGTCTACTTTCTTTCGTCCGATAGTTTATCATAATGTGTCTATCTAACTCATTTACAGCCCTTTGACTTGTTTGATGTGCATTTTAGAAGTAGAGTTGATGAAGAATAACAATTATTATGGATATACAACTTCTTTTATTTTGTGGAGGCGACGTTTAGACGTTTTCGACGTTTCGACATAGATTCTAATGTCGTTGTCTAATGTCATCACTTGCTTGACAACGGCATTAGAATCTATGTCGAAACGTCGGCTCCACAGAATAAAAGAAGTTGTATATCCATAATAATTGTCATTATTCTTCATTTACAACCAGGGGCGGTGGGGTAGCCTAGTGGTTAAAGCGTTGGCTCGTCACGCCGAAGATCCGGGTTCGAATCCCCACATGGGTACAATGTGCGAAGCCCATTTCTGGTGTCCCCCGCCGTGATGTTGCTGGAATATTGCTAAAAGCGGCGTAAAACCAAAACTCAGTCAGTCATTTACAACCCTGTTTATTTTGGAAATGTGATACGTTCCACATGCTTTGAAATGTGTTTCAGGTGTTGATGACACCGGATCCGGGAACGACCAAGGGACTGTAATCATAAACTATATCACTGAGTGAGTGAGTTCAGTTTTACGCCGGATTTGGCAATTTTTCAGCAATATCATTGCGACTGACTCCGGAAATGGGCTTCACACATTGTACCCATGTGTGGGGAATCGAACCCAGGTCTTCAGTTTTACGAGCGAATGCTACAATCACTAGGCTAGCCCACCGCCCCATAAACTATACCAATTGTGCCCAATTGTCAGTGCTCTCAACCAGCTTCTAAGACTCCTAGTGGGGCTCTCCATGGTTGAAATCGGTTTCCAGGAACTGTGAGTGAGTGAGTTTAGTTTTACGCCGCTTTTAGCACTATTCCAGCAACCTACCCAAGTCGCAAGGAATCGAATGGTCAACTTAACGTGTTTAATGATTGCTAGTCTACAATGATTTGTTCAAAATAATCATCATCGTACTCGCGTCGACTAGCTTGTCTGTTAAGAAACCCATGAAAGCGGGCCCTGTGGGGTTTTACGTTATTGCAGGGTGTTTTTCTTCAACAATATAACGATAATATTGTTTATATAATTATAACAATGATAATATTATATTAATGTATCAAAGACTTTGTATATATAATGTTAATGCTATACATTAGTTTATCTACATGTATATATGCTCACAAATAATATGTATGCACATATATACATAAACATGAACATATAGAACAGAAAACGGTGTCGACCCTATATTGTCGAGCTCAGTAATTGTCTGTGCAAATGTTTTTCCATAAATGGTCATGGTAATATATAGGGCTGCGCAATATAACTGGTTTACCGGTATTTACCGGTTCAGACATGAAAACGATACGTATTGCGATACGCTGATCGAAAACCGGTATTTTGACTTGCATTCGGAAAACGTCGTAACACTCGGAAATCTTCGGATATTTCCTTGTTCCATTTGTGCCAAATATTATTCACATTTTTATTTTATCATGATTAAAAGTTGTTATTAAAGCTTAATCAAGCATAGTGATTTTGTTGTGTTTTTGCTCTATAAATCAAGAAGTAACTCGATTATTAGTAGTGTTTTGTTTACAAATATTTCATGCAATATATCGCAATAAGAATATTTCATGCAATACCCACCCCTAGTAATATACATACAACACCCCGCCCCCTACACATCACCCTCCCCTCTATATAGGCCGGATGTTCTGCAATACAAGAAAACATTAATAAACAACTGTATTAATGAATTCGTCATGGATCATATACTCTATTGACCTTGAGCTACTCACTAATTGGCAATATCATACGCATTTCCGAGCTCTTTACAAAGCTATTTCTTCTCAGCGTGAATCTTGTAATTAAGATAAAAACATTCTTCTCTTAAAAACACCCGCTGTGAACAACACCGACATCAAAGATGCAGACAATGACATCGACCTGTGATGGAGAGGCTGTAACTCATGTAAGCCCGTGTTATAACACGTGTATCGATATGTCTCCATGTTGCATACAGATAGGGGTAATATCGCCTAGAGAGAAGGTTAATTCGGCTCCATTGTCACGGACCACCATATCTATAATGCCATGGACTTTAACACCTCTTTATTGGAACTATGCACGCACGATATAAGAGAAAATCGTTGGGCGCACACTATTGTAATCAGCCGAATAGGTTAATGTGTTGTTTAGGAGTTAGCGGAGACTAGGACCAAGGCCTTCATCACGGGCAGGGGCGACGATGAGTTGATGAAGACCTTTAACACTTCCGAAACCCATGAGCTTGGTTGGAGCTCAAACTAAGGTCTTAATCGGGGCAGTTTGGATTCGAACCTGCAAATTCTTTAGCTGTGACTCCATGCTTGTCTCCCCTGGGTCTCCCAGAAAAAGGCACCCCCCTTCGTGAAATCCATCCCAGAAAAGGCACCCTGTAGCTTATTCTTGTACCACCCCCTCTACCTCATTGTGGTCTCTCCGTGGAACTACCCCCACAGAAGTGGTCCCCTGTAGCTCATTCTTGTCTCTCCGTGGAACTACCCCCACAGAAGTGGTCCCCTGTAGCTCATTGCTGTCTCTCCGTGGAACTACCCCCACAGAAGTGGTCCCCTGTAGCTCATTGTTGTCTCTCCGTGGAACTACCGCCACAGAAGTGGTCCCCTGTACCTCATTGTTGTCTCTCCGTGGAACTACCGCCACAGAAGTGGTCCCCTGTAGCTCATTGTTGTCTCTCCGTGGAACTACCGCCACAGAAGTTGTCTCCCTGCTAATTGTTGTCTCTCCGAGAGAGTGGTCCCCTGTAGCTCACTGCCTGCTGTCTCTTGTCTATCCGTGGAACTACCGCCACAGAAGTGGTCCCCTCATTGTTGTCTCTCCGTGGAACTACCGCCACAGAAGTGGTCCCCTGTAGCTCATTGCTGTCTCTCCGTGGAACTACCGCCACAGAAGTGGTCCCCTGTACCTCATTGTTGTCTCTCCGTGGAACTACCGCCACAGAAGTGGTCCCCTGTACCTTATTGTTGTCTCTCCGTGGAACTACCGCCACAGAAGTGGTCCCCTGTAGCTCATTGTTGTCTCTCCGTGGAACTACCCCCACAGAAGTGGTCCCTTGTACCTGATTGTTGTCTCCTGGGAAGTGGTTCCATTTCAGACTATACGTGGAACTACCCCCGATATACCACGCTTGTCTCTTGTGGGGTTAGGTTGAAAACTGTTCCCATGGGATACAGAATGCCTGGGTATTGACTACACCGCTCATGTGGTCGTCGCTCATTGTTGTCTCTCCGTGTAACACCTCGTGGCATTTCTGCCACAGAAAAGACCTGTGCCAGCATGTAATCACCTAATACTCCATATTATATGCCCATTTAGCAGAACTACCGTCTTCAGTGATGATCGAAAGGTCACAATGTCTGGCTTTGATAATACATTGTGTAGCTATAGGTTTATATTAAACTTTCCCCAGATGGCCTGTTTACATAATATATTAAGCCCGTCTGTTTCAGCCCTCCCGTGTATGTGAAGAATATTGATTAAATAGCAATTCAATCGCCGTGTATAGATAAATATATAATAGTGAATTTCGTAATACCCGCCACAGAGTGTGACGTCGTTATTCACTGTTATTCTAAATACCAACGTCGACAGAAGAAGGAAAAACCCAGCGAAAACGTAGCCTTTACTTTTCTCCGATTGGAAGCCGAAGCAAGTGTGTTGTTATCGTGACGTCAAATGGCAATGACGTCAAATCCTGTGACATTGTAACGTCATGACATACTGAAGTGGACTGCTTTTATTGTTTGCATATGTAATGTTCAGTTTGTGCGTTCTAGGATTATTTAAACTTGTTGGTCTCCGTGAGCTGGACCAAAGTCAGCCATTATTTCTGGCAAACCAGGATTTGCCAGGGACAGCCTGATATAACAGGTCTAGCTCAATCAGGCAGTACCCGAGAAAATAGAGCTGCATCCTTGATATAATATAAAATGGTTGTCTCTCATGCAGTTCACACAGTGGCCTGTAGCAGATTGCTCCTGGAAACACACAAGGTATAGCTTCAATGCATGACAGGAACTGAGTTCCCTATAGGGTTTCCGTAGCAATATTCCAGCAATATCACGGCAGCGGACTACCGCCACAGAAGTGGGCTTAGCACAATGTGTCCCATGTGTGGAACTACCGCCATTGAAGTCCCTATAGCCATCGGCGTGAACTACCGCCACAGAAGTGGAACCTTTAACTCATTGTTGTCTCTTGGCTACCCCACCGCCCCTCATTGCATGATCCCCACAGGAAGTGGGCTACCTCATTATTGTTGTCTCTCCCACCGTGAGTATTGCTGGAATATTGCCACAAAAGCGGCGTAAAACCATTGTTGTCTCTCCTCTACTCACTCCCACTCACTATTCCATGCAAGCTGTACGCAGATTACCAGCTTGTCACCGTTAAAACTCTTTATTCATGTGCAGTGTAAACCGCTCAATGCGAAAGTTGAAACTGATGCGTGGAACATCCATATTATCGTGCCCAACAGAGATGTCAACTGACGTCGTTATTCACAGTTATTCTTAATACCAACGTCGACAAAGAAGGAAAAACCTAGCGAAAACGTAGCCTTTACTTTTGGCCGATTGAAGCGAATCAGATGTATTGTTATCGTGACGTCAAATGGCAATGACGTCAAATCCTGTGACATTGTAACGTCATGGCATTTATGACTGCTTTTTATTGTTTGCATATGTAATGTTCAGTTCTAGGATTATTTAAACTTGGGTGTCCTGGCTGGACCAAAGTCACCATATTTCTGGCAAACCAGGATTTGCCAGGGGCAGCCTGATATGACAGGTCTCAATCAAGGCAGTACGCGAAAAAAGACTGCAACCTTAATATAATATAAAATGGCCGTCATGCAGTTCACACAATGGCCAGGCAGATTGCTCTAACACACAACAAGGTATTGCTTCAATGCATGACAGGAACTGAGTGACAAGGGTTTTAGCAATATTCCAGCAATATCACGGCAGGGGACACCAGAAATGGGCTTCAAACAATGTACCCATGTGGGCAATCGAGCCCGGGCTATCGGCGTGACGAACGGACGCTTTAACCACTGAGTTAATGCTTGATTATAACGCAAAAACACAACAAAATCACTATGATTGATTAACCTTTCATAAAAACTTTTAATCATGACAAAATAAAAATGTAAGTAACATTTGACACTAATGAAATAGGGAAAAGAACAATTGAAAAAACGGAAATATCCGAAGATTTCTGAGTGTTACGAAGTTTTCCAAATGCAGGTCAAAGTACCGGTTTTCGATCAGCGTATCGCAATACGTATCGTTTTTATGTCTGAACCGGTAAATATTGGTAAACCGGTTATATTGCGCAGCCCTATCCAACAGAGATGTCAACTCTTCACCAAAGTCGCATTATTGATTCTAAAGTGTTGATACAAACACCTTAAAGTTACATTTCCCTGACGCCTATCAGAACACATTCAATATGATCAGTACATCGTCATTTATATTCATTACATGCTTTTATTCAATACTGAATCAATAAATGAAACTAATTAGCTTTGATGATGACGTCAGTTGCCCCCGACCCAAGTCGACCGACGTGGAACGTAAATCAGTTATCCTGTGTTAACACTGATCACCCAAGGTTAACGTGTGTTATGCTGTGTTAACACTGATCACCCAAGGTTAACGTGTGTTATGCTGTGTTAACACTGATCACCCAAGGTTAACGTGTGTTATGCTGTGTTAACACTGATCACCCAAGGTTAACGTGTGTTATGCTGTGTTAACACTGATCACCCAAGGTTAACGTGTGTTATCCTGTGTTAACACTGATCACCCAAGGTTAACGTGTGTTATGCTGTGTTAACACTGATCACCCAAGGTTAACGTGTGTTATCCTGTGTTAACACTGATCACCCAAGGTTAACGTGTGTTATGCTGTGTTAACACTGATCACCCAAGGTTAACGTGTGTTATGCTGTGTTAACACTGATCACCCAAGGTTAACGTGTGTTATGCTGTGTTAACACTGATCACCCAAGGTTAACGTGTGTTATCCTGTGTTAACACTGATCACCCAAGGTTAACGTGTTATCCTGTGTTAACACTGATCACCCAAGGTTAACGTGTGTTATGCTGTGTTAACACTGATCACCCAAGGTTAACGTGTGTTATGCTGTGTTAACACTGATCACCCAAGGTTAACGTGTGTTATCCTGTGTTAACACTGATCACCCAAGGTTAACGTGTGTTATGCTGTGTTAACACTGATCACCCAAGGTTAACGTGTGTTATGCTGTGTTAACACAGATCACCCAAGGTTAACGTGTGTTATCCTGCGTTAACACTGATCACCCAAGGTTAACGTGTGTTATCCTGCGTTAACACTGATCACCCAAGGTTAACGTGTGTTATCCTGTGGTAACACTGATCACCCAAGATGAACGTTTGTGATGCTGTGGTAAACACGGGTTCACCTGGGTCGTCCAGGACGTCGAAATCGAAACGGTCAGACAAGTTCACTTGCAGCGCATACCACCTTGACAGATAGCATTAATTGGCCCAACCCAAGCTTGGTATGTCTGATCTTGGACGTTGACCGGGCTCTTGTCTACCTAGATTAGTAGTCAGACGGTGTCCGATTTAACGGATCCTGATATTGGATGAAGGACATCATAAAAAGATGTTACGCATGCGCATCTATAGCCGGATACTGTACATAATTCTACTGGGTATGATGCGAATGGAAGCCAACCATATCCACATTGCCAGAACGTTTGGTTGCTCCCGTCTAGCAGGCTGGCCCAGGTTAACTAAGCCCAATTGAGACCGGTACTTGAGTACTGTGCACCTCCGGAGTCCTTGAATTAATCAATGAATTGCAGGGGGCAGATATTGATAGCGCAACAACATCCTGAAACTGAGACGGGCGCGGACTGTGCGTTGTTGACAGCGACGTGACTGGCAGAGGGTCGTCTTTGCTGAGTTGAAAAGTCTGTTGATAGAAGACTGCGCTATTACTACCGAAGGGAAAACGAACGGCGGCATGTTGCGTTCAAGAGATCGTCTCGTATGGTTGAAGGGGTGTTATGTTCTGGTCAGGACAAAACACCACTGGTCATCGTCCACGGTAATTCGACAACACATGGGTGACATTCGTCGTATATGCCTTACCATTTGTACAACAGAATGACTTGATGTCATTTACCAGCATGACAGCGCCAGACCCCATACTGCCGGAATTGTACAGAACTTCCGCGCAGCCAACAGCTTTGCCGTGTCTCACACACTCCGTAGACATGTCTCCAACAGAACATCCCTGGGATGTCATGGCTCGTCGAGATCGACTGAACAACATCCTCCAGCCGGACCACAAGAACTTATCCAGACCCTTAAAAAATGGCTACATATCCCACGTGACGACTGACTTTTTTTGTGCGCGTTTCTTGAGTTTTCGTCTTGTAGCTGGGAGTGGTCGTACACGTGACGTGCCACTGAAACATTTTCAGATGTGTGTGTCTATTGTTCATGTCGTTGAAGCCTTGTTTTGCTACCCCGCCTCAATTCGGGCAACTGTCATGCCAATGTCGGTTGCAGTATGACTATTTTTTTTTCATTTACACTTATTGATATCGTTGCAATTTTTATTTTTGCAATACATTTTACATTATTATTCGCCTTCGTTTGTGTTTACACTAGACTAATTTTAAACTATTTTAAAGGACAGATTCTAGTATTCTGGGAGGGTGAGCCCCATCCGGGATTCGAAGCACGACTCTCAGGTATCAGGTGCTAGTTATAACATCAAATATGAATATAAATAGACATGTTTATATATATATAAGCATAGGTAAACGAAAAAGCCAACGGGAGTGACTGACAGCAGTCTATGATCATCTATGCAGCTATTGTGTTCAGCACGAATGCATTGTGCTACTGTCCTAGGTGCAAGCTATATGCCCTTTAAAGAAAATTCTTCTGTCCCTTGAATGTCTATTACAGACTGCTTTCTCACTGTCTTTCGTAGAGGGTAATGTCCGGAGGGGCCGAGGCCCATAATTTTTAAGGAATGGAGAGTTACGAGGATATTACCCTACTTAAATTGCATTCAAAGTATTGGTAATATTTCCGTTATCAAACAAAATTAAATGTCAAAATGACAAAATGAAGTCTTAAATTTGAAACTGGTACACATCGATCGCTCCATTCCTGAAAAGTAATGGAGCGAGCTGACAATGGAATGACGTCACAAATGTAATTTAAAAGTGCTTAACAAACGGCCAAGCTGACTGAGTTTAGGCTGAACGACAAACAGATTTCTTAGGATATAAATCATGACAAGTGAGTTAACTGACTATGAAAGTCCAATTTCAACCCGTGTCCAGCTTTGCTGGAATGTCTGAATTGTATTATAGCTGGTTAAACGAGTCTATGCATAGTCCAATCAAAATCGCGACACCAAATCGACATCTGTTTTATAAACAACGGGTTTATAAACAGATATTTTCCATTTTTTCATGTTTTTAATCAACGTGCGCGAGGTAGGATGCGTTAAATTACAATGCATAGCTTGATTATGGATCAGATCGTTTTGATTGGGACAAATATGTATTTTGCAAATGCAAGGAATATGAAAGGTAGAATCTGATTGGTCAATAGGGACATAACTAACAATAAACACAGGTGGCGCTACGATCGAGCCAGGAAATCAAATTTAATTGATAGTCAGTCAAACCCCTTGCCTCGGGAAGACGCTTTGTGCTATAGGCTCTCATATCAATACAGTTGTCTTCTTTGGACAATTTGTTTAATTATTAGTTCCTACATTGGCACCCAGGAATGTCTGGCAGTCTGAGCCAGGTAGAGACCTTGCAGACCTTTGATTCAAATGTTGCTAGTTAGTGTACCCATGGAGGTTTGAAGGTAGTTTCGAGACTGTTTTGTTTGCAGTTACGAAAAATATCGTTAAATCTAAGTTCCACCTGAACCAGTCAGAATCGCGGAAAGAAAAGAAAAATAATACTCACAGATGTTGGGATATCTATTCCATTACACGAGACCGCCAAGGAGGTTTTGTCTGAAAAATACATGAGAGATTTTAATTTAAAAGTACACATTTCTTTTTTTTGGAGGGTGTGTGTGTGGGTGTGGGGTGGGTGTGGGGCGCACAGCGAAGTGAGTGTTTGTGTGATTGTTTTCCTAAAGAAGCATCGTTTGGCAAAGCGTACACAATGTTGTGACTTGCAAGTCACTATCAAAACACTTTTCAAAGTGTTTGGTTTGTTTTTTGAGAATAATCCCGAAGCACCAGGTGAGTACTTTCTTTTATAAGTCAGTTTATATACAACTCTATACATTCACACACGCTAACCTTGACAAAGAAAGTTGACATCATGGCTCTCGGTTATCAACACTATCAGCTGGTCTGGAAACTAGGTCAACTATGACGTCATTACTTCAGCTCTACTTATGTTTTTCATAAAGATAACGGTAAGGAGGTTCGGGACTACAGAAAAGCAGAAACACCAAAAACTGTCTAACATTAGCTTTATCTTTTAAAATTGATCAGTCTCAAATAGTTTGGTTATCGGGACCAGATGTATGTGGAATTAATGGGGGTGCTTCGACCTCTCATAATACCATATTTCTATATACGACTTTCAAATACGTGTATTGGCTTCAGGGGACACGTGTTGATGTTAATGATGAGCGGATTTTTAATGCACGGAAGGAAAGACGGCAATGCATCACGACTTCAATTTGAACAGCTGGTAAAGGTGGGTTGCATCCAGTCGGTAGGACTCAATACTTGCAGATGGTCCCTTCTTTGCCATGGGAGCATATTGGGAATCGGATGGTCAAAACGGATTCGTACAATATATAGTTTTAGGACGGGTGGAAACAAGGGCGGTAATCAGGTATACCCTTATACCTAATCAAGTACCAAGGTGAGGACTGAATCGTGGAACCTTGATTGTTCTTTTGGGGGTGGGAATGGGGTTGGGGGGTTGTTTGGTCGATAAAGTTAGTAGACATGTGGAGGATATATCCGAATGTTGACGTATCAATGGCGAAAATCATGTCCTATGAAATGCCATGCTTTGACTTGTACCAAATGTTCCAGTGGTGTCTTTTCTGGCAAACAATTGACGTGCCTTTGCATGTGTGTGTGACAGATGTCATTGGTTTTGCATGTGTTTGTGATTCACCTGGATACGACCCGCTTCTCGCAAACACCTGGTGTCATCACTACTAATGGTTATCACGGTTCCATGATACAGTAGATTCTGCCACTGACAGTTTGAGGGAATATGGACAGGGGTATGTAGCTCTTATATGGAGGCCCCCAGCATAGACCTGCTGCGTCAGTGTGTTATTGTGTTGTAGGGTTAAACCTAGTTATATACCTAGAAACCTATGTTTCCCATGACATAGGAAGGAGTTAATGTATTATTCACCCGTGTTTGATATGAATTATGTACGCTTGCTGACAAAAGGCAAGGCATGTGACATTAGCACGCTTCCGTAACTCCGCTTCCGACACTAAAACACAGCTACAGTACACACGCGGCTCCAATGTCTCTTGGATTGGGTGAGGTTGTTGTGCTGTGAGGTTGAGGTTGTGGTGTTGCGAGGTGGGGTTGTGGTGGTGTTAGTTGGTGTTGTGATGGTGTGGGTTGGTGTTGCGATGGTGCGAGGTGGGATTGTGAGTTGGAGTTGTGGTAGTGTGGAGTGGTGTGGAATGCAATGCTACCCACGCGCTTTTTGAAGCAAGCAAATCCTACGGACAGTTCAGAAATCACTAGACATACTGAATCCAGGACAAAATCCACCCGGACAAAATCCACCCCAAAATTGCAACCTAGGACAAAATCCACCCGGACAAAATCCACCCCTACTATAGTCAACAGGCATAACACAATGACCGACGGTTACATATTGGTAGCCAAATACAATAAACCCCTCCGTATCCGCACGTGTAGTCGGAATATGTCAAACAACTGAATCAAAGATGGCGGTGGGAACCTGTGTGCAAAAGCGTCGTCGACCTCGATACATTAGAGGACCTGGTTGAATCTGACTGATGTTCCTCCGTGAGATGCGTTGTTAATATTTTACCATATTTCATGAACCATGCATACTTGGTGGACATAATAGCACTTTTGTTGATGTTAAAAGGTGATTTATTGTCGCGGGACCAGAGGGAAGACATTATATTGTTCTTGACCTTTGGTACTTCTCTTTATATAATGCAGGACAAATATGAGCCGATGTTGATCTCAGCTAAAATGAAAAAAAAGAAACGGTTGTTCGATGGTGATGGCCCAGATAGCATTCAGACGTTGGCCCAACGTTGGCAATGTTGGCCAAACCATTGCCAACGTTGGGCCAACGTCTGAATGCTATCTGGGGGGTTGGGTGCCATTATCAGTTTGGTTTGAACCATAAGTGACTTGTTTCAGTCAGAAACAGTTTGATAACGTGTGTCAGATCCAAACTTCGAGTGAGTGAGTGAGTTTGAGAGAGAGTGGGTGAATGAGTAAGTGAGTGAGTATGGGTTTACGCCGCTTATAGCAATATTCCAGCAATATCACGGCAGGGGACACCAGAAATGAGCTTCACACATTGTGCCCTTGAGGGGAATAGAACTCAGCGTGACGAGCGGAAGCTTTAACCGCTAGGCTAGCCCGATATTATTGATACTTAGCATAAATATAATGTGAAACAGCAAAATGTATCCGACAGGCTGGAGTGCGGCAATCTGTTACACCCCATACAGTTGCTCCATGTAGAATCGAATCGGTTCATTTTTTGTCTATTTTCATGGCGCATTAATTGAATCGAATCGGCTAAGGCGCCAGGCTAGTGATCCAGTGAGCATGAGGTGCCGGGGTCGAGCCTACCTGTGACCGGGTGAAAAACCTTCAAGTCAACTTTTCGAGCAGACTCTTTCAATGTTGTCACAACCCCTTGTGTACAGTACACAACCCTGTGCACTTAAAAGAACCCACCAGATGGTAGCCACATGAATACGAGCAAACACCTAGTTGCGGGTACAGCAACGTGCAGTGAAGGACAAAGTACTGTGACTATGTGTCCCAGTCCACCCAGCTGTGAATGGGTACCTCGTTAGGATGAGAAAGCCGCATTTTGTTTAACTCGGTGCGGCTTGTGGCAGCAAGAGTTGTACGATACTCAGGGAGCTGAGATTGATAATAAGATGTGCCGTTGAGATTGACATCCAATTATCGAGGGAAAAATACTAGCGCCTTGAGCATGCACTACTGCGTGGATATGTGCGCTATATAAATATCCTATAATAATAATAATAATAATAATAATACTATGATGACTGTAGGGTTTCCGTCAGAAGAGTGGCTCAATCAAGGCGATGAAGACAACGATAAGACCAAGGAACAATCATTAAACGCTCTAAACTCGCATGAATTTCTCCACAGTAATAAGAGAACATGGCGGAAAAGCGACACCTTTATGGATGAATTATAATCAGGAAAATAGTCCGTAGTTATTGTCATCAGTAGATGTTACAACTCGCTGGTCATAGCTATTTCTCTAAGTGGGTGCTCCGCAAACTCAACGCATCGTCTTTTGTACATTGTGTTGCTGATTAACGAAACCTAGGTCAATGTACTGAGCTCTCAGGTAAAGTTGTAGCAAGCTTGGCTTTTCAACTCGTATCAGTGATCAAATTTATTTCTTACGTGGATTGAGTCGCTTTTCCGAGTTCCGAAACCATTTTTTATACCTATAGCTGAAGAAAAATCAAGGCGACCTGGTGTTTTTTTTATAAGTGTACAACAGTAGGAAACTGAAATTAGGGACCGTTCATAACTTATGGATGATGATAATTTAAAGGGGGGACTTCACCCATTTTGTTCTGGTGGATTAATTGATCGAAGATTGGTGTGTGTGTGTGTGTGTGTGTGTGTGTGTGTGTGTGTGTGTGTGTGTGTGTGTGGTCATCAATGTTGTACACAAGTACTAGGGTGGTCAGCAATTTTGTACTGAAAAAATATGAATATTTTAAAATTATGCTTAGAAATTATGGGAAGGGGAAGTTGCATCATGTCACTGACTTTCTGATAGGAAAATCTGAAAATGACATGCAGGGTGGTCACTTATTTTGTACATATTTTTAGGGGGCATTCACAATAGAGACAACGCTGTCAATCTCAGATATATTTCATGTCCGAGATTAACACGACAACACGAGTTGAGTCCACCTGGAAACTCTCTACATGGCGTTCGAAATTCATGGTTTTTTAGTCAAACCTGTTATACGTGTTACTGTTAGTTTTGATTTCTCGTTGAAACCAGCCACTCGTAACATTGAATTACTGAATAACCTTATATCGAAAATAAAGACAATACCCTCTTTGTTTTGTCAGCAGTATTGACAGTTACTTGGTTCAAAGTGTACGCTTTGTTTGTGTGCACTGGTGCATCTCGTGTTTATGGAAGGTATTCTTGTAAATAAGTAATCGACATACCGGGACACAATGCACGTAATGGGCATGACGATATAGTTCTGCTAAGCATGACTTCAAAACCTCTGTCTTCATCATGGATCTAACACGCGCTATTGATTGTTATCTTATTGACATTCTGGAACAGGTGCCCGTGAATTCATCTATATTGAAAAAAGCTGATTAATAATATTAGAAACCCGAATTACCTGTGGCGATTTATGGTAATTATATTTATCTTAGGTGATTATTTAAAATATGTGAAATTAAGGACCTATCATTTTGTGATTTATTTTACAATCATCAATATCTTGTACATTGTATTTTGCTGTTGTACTATCGTTGGTGGTCTGCGTGACTATACTAGAATGGACCTGTCAAGTCTGATGCAGTACCATGTAAATTATGTACCGCATTGTCTTAACAAACTTTAAAAAGCCAAAGAAACAAAATAAGAAAAAGAGTAAAATCCGTTGTTAAAGGCAATCGAAAAACACCCGGAAAATAATATATGACAATTAGTAATTAATTGCGCAACACCTAAATCCAAGGACAATTAGTATTTTGGTTTAAACAGGCGATCACACTC